TGTTGGATCCTATTGGCTAGTATCTTGTTGAGAATTTTTGCATCCATGTTCATCAGGGATATTGGTCTGTAATTCTCCTTTTTGGTGGGGTCTTTGTCTGGTTTTGGAATTAAGGTGATGCTGGCCTCATAGAATGAGTTTGGAAGTACTCCAGCTCTTTCTATCTTTCCAAACAGCTTTAGTAGAATAGGTATGATTTCTTCTTTAAACGTTTGATAGAATTCCCCTGGGAAGCCATCTGGCCCTGGACTCTTCTGAAAGAAATTGAGGAAGACACAAAGAGATGGAAAAATATTCCATGCTCATGGATTGGCAGAATTAATATTGTGAAAATGTCAATGCTACCCAGGGCAATTTACACGTTCAATGCAAGCCCTATCAAAATACCATGGACTTTTTTCAGAGACTTAGAACAAATTATTTTAAGATTTGTGTGGAATCAGAAAAGACCCCGAATAGCCAGGGGAATTTTAAAAAAGAAAACCATAGCTGGGGGCATCACAATGCCAGATTTCAGGTTGTACTACAAAGCTGTGGTCATCAAGACAGTGTGGTACTGGCACAAAAACAGACACATAGACCAATGGAACAGAATAGAGAATCCAGAAATGGACCCTGAACTTTATGGTCAACTAATATTCGACAAAGGAGGAAAGACGATCCACTGGAAGAAAGACAGTCTCTTCAATAAATGGTGCTGGGAAAATTGGTCATCCAATTTTCACATGCAGAAGAATGAAACTAGACCACTCTCTTGCACCATACCCAAAGATAAACTCAAAATGGATGAAAGATTTAAATGTGAGACAAGACTCCATCAAAATCCTAGAGGAGAACACAGGCAACACCCTTTTTGAACTTGGCCACAGTAACTTCTTGCAAGATACATCCACGAAAGCAAAAGAATCAAAAGCAAAAATGAACTATTGGGACTTCATCAAGATAAGAAGCTTTTGCACAGCAAAGGATACAGTCAACAAAACTCAAAGACAACCTACAGAATGGGAGAAGATATTTGCAAATAACATATCAGATAAAGGGCTAGTATCCAAAATCTATAAAGAACTTATTAAACTTAACACCAAAGAAACAAACAATCCAATCATGAAATGGGCAAAAGACATGAAGAGAAATCTCACAGAGGAAGACATAGACATGGCCAACATGCACATGAGAAAATGCTCTGCATCACTTGCCATCAGGGAAATACAAATCAAAACCACAATGAGATACCACCTCACACCAGTGAGAATGGGGAAAATTAATAAGGCAGGAAACAACAAATGTTGGAGAGGATGTGGAGAAAAGGGAACCCTCTTACACTGTTGGTGGGAATGTGAACTGGTGCAGCCACTCTGGAAAACTGTGTGGAGGTTCCTCAAAGAATTAAAAATAGACCTGCCCTACGACCCAGCAATTGCACTGTTAGGGATTTACCCCGAAGATTCAGATGCAATGAAACGCCGGGGCACCTGCACCCCGATGTTTCTAGCAGCCATGTCCACAATAGCCAAACTGTGGAAGGAGCCTCGGTGCCCATCGAAAGATGAATGGATAAAGAAGATGTGGTTTATGTATACAATGGAATATTACTCAGCCATTAGAAACGACAAATACCCACCATTTGCTTCAACGTGGATGGAACTGGAGGGTATTATGCTGAGTGAAGTAAGTCAATCGGAGAAGGACAAACAGTGTATGTTCTCACTCATTTGGGGAATATGAATAATAGTGAAGGGGAATATAAGGGAAGGGAGAAGAAATGTGTGGGAGATATCAGAAAGGGACACAGAACATAAAGACTTCTAACTCTGGGAAATGAACTAGGGGTGGTGGAAGGGGAGGAGGGCGGGGGGTGGGGGTGAATGGGTGGCGGGCACGGAGGGGGACACTTGACGGGATGAGCACTGGGTGTTATTCTGTATGTTGGTAAATTGAACACCAATAAAAATTAATTTATATAAAAAAAAAAACAAATTGATGTTTTAAGCCATCCAAAAAGATTTCTTATAAAGTCTAATACTAGAGGGATCCCTGGGTGGCGCAGCGGTTTGGCGCCTGCCTTTGGCCCAGGGCACGATCCTGGAGACCCGGGATCGAATCCCACGTCGGGCTCCCGGTGCATGGAGCCTGCTTCTCCCTCTGCCTATGTCTCTGCCTCTCTCTCTCTCTCTCTTTCTGTGACTATCATAAAGAAATAAAAATTAAAAAAAAATAAAAAAAAATAAAAAAAATAAATTCTAATACTAGAGCTGCAAGGGAACTGGAGCACTTGTGTGCCACTGTGACATTGAAACTTTGTACACTTTTTTTGAAAATCAAGATCCATAAAAAACATTCATGCCCTTTGATCTGGTAATCACACCCCTGGGAACTTGTCCTAGGAACAGAATTGTAAAGAAGAAAAAAAGCCATATGCACTAAGATGTTCAAAACACAGAAAAATTGGGAGCTGACTAAAAGTCCAATAAATAATAGGGGAATAGTAAAAAAAAATCTAATGAATGTAATTTTATGTGGCCACTGAAATGATAAATATGAAAGACTGTAGCACAAGGACAGTATTTACAATAAGTTTTTTTAGGGACACCTGGGTGGCTCAGCGGTTGAGGCATCTGCCTTCAGCTCAGGTCGTGATCCCGGGATCCAGGATCGAGTCCTGCATCGGGCTCCTTGCGAGGAGACTGCTTCTCCCTCTGCCTATGTGTCAGCCTCTCAGTCTGTGTCTCTCATGAATAAATAAATCTTTAAAAAAATTTTAAAGCAAAAATTTAAAATATATGTACACTGTGATTGCATTTCTATAAAATAGAAGTATTATGCAAACAGAAAAGGCATGGAACATAGATAAATGAAAACAGTTGTCTGGGGTTCAGAAATGCAGGTGAATATTTTCTTTCAAAATTTCCTTTAATGTTGTCAAATTGGAATTTTTAATTTTTTTTTTCATTAGAAATTTTTGGACAGGCTATGCACCAGAGTAACATGAAGTAGAGATAGTCATAGAGGATAAATATAGAGAAACTATCATTAAGATCTTGCTTTTGTAGTAATTTGTGTTCTTCCAGGTACAGAAGGAAACCAGATTCGGAGAGTTAAGAGGTGACTTTATAGTGATGAAATGGGGCTATGGGGTTATGGTACTCTTTCTAAGAAATTTGACAGTGAAATGAATAAGGTGAATAGAATATTAGCTACACGAGACAACAGAGTCAAGGTACCAGTGATAATGCTTTATTTTTGTTTGGTTAGGTTTTGTTTGTGTGTTTCTTTAAAAATGGGATGAAATCGGTTTATGGAAAGACTGAAATGATGAAAAGGAATAAACAAAGAAACAAGTAAGAGGGCCAACTCTTATTTTGGGTCTACAGGAAAGAAAGACAAGATGGATACAAAAGTAGAGTGAACATGAATGATGCAGAAAGAAATTGAGGTATTCTCAGTTTTACAGGAGGCAAGGTAACTATTAGAGGATGAAGTTGGAGTCTTGAGAAGATGGAAAAGACAGGAAACACTTGCTCTGGAATGTTCACTAGGAACTCAGCAAGCTAATAAAAATGGGGACTTAGATGAAGTCCCAAGACATGAAGTTTCAGTGGGTCGAACCAGCCTTATGATCTGGCTTTGTCTTGGAATCTCCTTCAGTCTGGGAGAGAGGAGAAAATCGGCTGAAGGTGAGAGTCAAGGTGTTTAACTAAAGTTAGAGTAAGAGGGAAGACAACCCTAAGGTAGCAGACCATAAAGTCTGGGCAAATCAGGGAAATACAAATCAAAACCACAATGAGATACCACCTCACACCAGTGAGAATGGGGAAAATTAATAAGGCAGGAGACCACAAATGTTGGAGAGGATGCGGAGAAAAGGGAACCCTCTTGCACTGTTGGTGGGAATGTGAACTGGTGCAGCCACTCTGGAAAACTGTGTGGGGGTTCCTCAAAGAGTTAAAAATAGACCTGCCCTATGACCCAGCAATTGCACTGTTGGGGATTTACCCCAAAGATTCAGATGCAATGAAACACCGGGACACCTGCACCCCGATGTTTCTAGCAGCAATGTCCGCAATAGCCAAACTGTGGAAGGAGCCTCGGTGTCCGTTGAAAGATGAATGGATAAAGAAGATGTGGTCTATGTATACAATGGAATATTACTCAGCCATTAGAAACGACAAATACCCACCATTTGCTTCAACGTGGATGGAACTGGAGGGTATTATGCTGAGTGAAGTAAGTCAATCGGAGGACAAACAGTATATGTTCTCATTCATTTGTGAAAGGGAATATAAGGGAAGGGAGAAGAAATGTGTGGGAAATATCAGAAAGGGAGACAGAACATAAAGACTCCTAACTCTGGGAAACGAACTAGGGGTGGTGGAAGGGGAGGAGGGCCGGGGGTGGGGGTGAGTGGGTGACGGGCACTGAGGGGGGCACTTGACGGGATGAGCACTGGGTGTTATTCTGTATGTTGGTAAATTGAACACCAATAAAAAATTAATTTATTAAAAAAAAGTCTAGGCAGTGAGTTTTGATAAAGCATATGGGTTAAATGGATTGGGGAAATGGAAAAGGCTGGGTCAGTTGTGATAGAGAAAGCAGCTTTACTTGGTGGGGCCAGTGGATGGGAGAGGTAGGTGATGGGCAAGGAGGCTGTGGTCATAGGAATTATTTGTGTGAAGTAACACACAAATATGTGTGGGGGAAAGGAGGGGGAAAGAGGGCTGGGTGAGAATATTAGGAAGCCTTGTAGGATCAAGAGACAGGACCAATAGCCCCAGGAAGGACACAGAAGCAGAAAAAGAAGAGTGGCTGTTACTGCCTTTGGCTAAAAAGAAAAGGGCAAATGATGGGTTTATGAGGGATGGGGTCACACATGATTTCCCTGGTTCCTCTTAATGTTCAGGGTGTGGGCCTCTCTCCAAAGTCTGGGAAAGAAGAAGACGCAGCCATATTGGGTGTAACTGGTAAGTTCCCTCACCTCTGCCCTGCATTCACCCTTTTTCTTCTCACTTACTGGCTCCCAGAGTTAACGGTCTACTTGCCCTAGGAGCAGGGAAGCCACAGTGAGTGGATGTCCACATGCAGCCACTATCCTCAGGCAGGGACACCAGTGCCAGGGAGGAGGCAGTCATGGGGGGCTGGCGCCCCCCACAACTGCAAAGCTGCCAGAGCTCACATCACTACTTGTCCCCAGTGAGCAGGTAGAGCACAGGATCCAGGCAGCTGTTGGCACTGGCTAGAGGCCGAGTCACTTTGTAGACCACGCTGAGAATGTTCAGCACCCAGCAGTCAGCTTCCAACAGTCTTGATGTGTAATAAATGGTGCGGGTGATGTGGAAAGGCATGAAGCAGACAGCAAAGACAGCATCACAACGATGGTGCAGAGAGAACACAGACGAGAAGATAATCGGGTGGCCCTTGGCAACCGGCGATACAGGTGCCGGGCCATGAGCCCCTAGCAGACAAGAGTGACTAGACAGGGCACTCCAAAGAGCAACCCCATGATTGCCGAGCTGAAGTGCACATAGTGGTCAAACTCCTCAGGCCGAGTGGTGTCATGGCACAGGAGGGGATCCTTTTTGGTGCTGGTTGTGACAAAGAACAGGTTGGGCACCAGGCAGCCGGCTGAGACCAACCAAACCACCAGGCAGAGAAGGCCTGCAAAGCGAGGGCAGCCCTAGCGCAGTGCCCGCAGTGGGTGGCAGATGCCCAGGTAGCAGTGCACACTGATGCAGGTGAGGAAAAGGACACTGCAGTAGAGGTTCCAATAGAAAAGAAATCGGATAAACTTGCAGAGCCCAGTACCAAAGGGCCAGTGGTTGCGGGCCGCATAGTAGTAGATGAGGGTAGGTAGTGACAGCACGTACAAAGTATCTGACAAGGCCAAATGGAACATGTAGGTGGCTGTTGCATCCCAGGGTCAGAGGCGAAAGAAGAAGAGCCAGAGAGTCAGGGTGTTGAGGCCAAGACCCAACAGAAAGACAACTGTGTAGCTCACAGGCAGCAGAATGAACTTGAACTCCTCATTAAAACTGCAGTCCAGCTCTGCCTCACTGTTGCCAGGATCTGGGCTGGGGCCTGGGGTTGTGAGCAGAGAGCACTCTGCCCTGGCCATGGTTCCCCTATAGATGGAAAGGGCAGAAGTGAGGGCCGCTGGATTTTCCTGGCCTTCCAGTCCTAACTTGAGGCCAAAAAGCAGAGAATGGGGAGGACCCATGACTGAAGCATTAGGAGTAACTGAGAGGAGAATGTCTGTGTACAACCCAACCAGGCTGGGCCCTACCCATGCCCCCTTGGTCCAGTCTGGGAGTGATGGTCAGCAGGTGGTGCTGGGGCCCAGTAGGGCAGGCAGTGAGTTTGGGGTGTTCTCATCCTGCATCTGACTCTGTCCTTCAGATCTTGGCTGGCCAAAACTGTGGAGGCCCACCAGCACAATCCATCATGCAAAGATGCCTGGACCCAAATTGTCTCCTAGCCCATTACAATATTTCTCTACATGGTGACCTTACTTTTCCCCTCACCCTGGTCCCAGCATCTCCATTTTTGTGACACCTTCCCCTAGCCTGGTCCAGCCCAGGAACCCCATTGTCACTATTACCCAAGAAACTTGGCATGTCTCCTACCTTATCCCTTTGAAGTTGAGCCCAGCTGACTCTGTCACCTTTCCCTTTGGCAGCCAGAAGGCTTATCCAAGAGGGCGGGTTTGGGGGTGGGGCCCATCCCTCCTTCAGTCCTGGGAGGTCATCAGAGTTAGAAAGGCCTAAGGAGATTATCTAGTCCAACCCACTCACTGTATAGATTGGGAAACTGAGGCCCAGCAACAAGATTTACTAATGTGGAGTGTGAGAGAAAAAGAGGAGTCAAGAACGATTCCAAGATTTCCAGCCTGAGCAACTGGAGAAATTGAGTTACCATCGACAGAGATGGGAAAAGCTATGAGAGAAGTAGGTTTGGGGAAAGACTAGGGGTTCGTTTTCTCAGCCTGTCAATTTCCAGGCACCTATTGTACACATAAGAGGAGGGCGAAAGGAGGCAGTTCACTCCTTCCCCCTCAAGGAAGCTAGCCAACATTCCTCCCTTACAGGCTCCACCTCTTCCTACACAGCACCCCTCATCTCTCTCTACCAGTCCAGGAGACTCCAGTCTGAATACAGTTGAGAAAATACAGAAGCCAAACCTCAATGTTTGAGAGCCAAGTGCCAGAGAATGCCAGTTTTTCAGGAGCTCTGGATCTGGGGCTCCTGGGGCTAAATTTTCAGGATTATGGGGGTCTTAGGCAGAGGGGCAAGCTTTGGGCCTGCAGGACTCTGAGGGTGAGGTGAGTGGTGCTCTTAGGGAGGGAGATGCAGTCTGGGCAGAATCCACTCTGCAGGGAACTGGAAACAACCTGATCTTCAGGTCCTGAGAATGTTGCCTGGCTGGATTCTGGGAGTGAGAGGAGGAGGCAGGCCAGGAAGGGAGGCTCTAGAATCTCAGATCTAGATCTCCTGGAGGCCCAGAAACCTGAATAGTGGAAACTTGGAGATCCCTGCCCTGTGACAGGGTCAGGGTAGATGAAAGGGAGGCACAGAGGAAGCAGTTATAGCCTGAGTCCTGGACAGCTGGCCACTGTGATATTACATAAAAAGCCCAGGTGTTTGGAGCAGACGGACTTGAATTCAACTCCTTGTTTTCCCAGGGATTCATTGTGTGATGCTGGACACCTCTTTGTAACCTAGTTTTCTCATCAGTGAAGTGAGCATAAAAATACCAACCTTTTAGGGTTTCCTGAATATCGAACTGGTCAATAGGTGTGAAAACATTTTGTAAACCATGAAACGCTTCTAATCATATGGTGTTTTGTGTGACTACTTTGCTCCTAGGAATGAAGTTGATCTCTTCAGAGGAGAACAAGTGTGATTTGAGGCTCGGAATACACCCAAGAGGTCACTTCAGTGTCCCCCACACTAGAGAAGCTCCTGCTTCAGGCTGGTTTAGCTCTGAAGGGTTTCTGGAGTCCCTGGACACACAGCTCAAGTTGCCACTGCTGCCACTGCCGCCCAGTGGCTACTTAGGAAAAGACCTCGCTCAAAACGGCCCGGGTCAAAAGCAATGATTTGTGCCTTGTGAAATGCTGTAGGCCAAACTTGCTGGCTTTCTTGAAACTCTTCCTCACTTTTGTTTCTGAGACTTTGCATTACGCTGCTTCTCCCAGTCCTCCACATGTCCCATCTGACTTTTTCCCTGGCTCATTTTGTCCATCTCCCTTCAAAAGTGACCTTTCCCCAAGCCTTACTCCTAGAGCATTTTCTCTTTTCTCCTCTCTTCCCCTCTTTCTCCTCTCCTTTCTCTCCTCACTACCATTTCTTCTTCCCTCTCTCAACATCAACTCTCATGATTTAACTTAGAAGTTATGAGTAATTATAATACCCAATGAGACTCCGGTGTACAGATCTCACTCTAATCAAAATGGATGTCTCTCTCACACTCTTACCATATTTGATTCCTACTGAGATTATGGCATGTACCACAAACTGAATAGAATTCCACTCATTTGCGTTTTTGTCCATCTTCTCCTGATTCTCCCAGCCACATACCAGACCCAGAGGTCCTTGAGGACAAGCAACTTGTATTAGCTCTGTCTTTCCTACAGCCTTCCTGGTAAAGTTATAATAGCATATGTTCCAGGTGCTTTTTAAAATTTTATTTAAATTCAATTTGTCAATGTATAGTATAACAACCAGTACCCATCTCATCGTGTGCCCTCCTTAATGCCCATCACCCAGTTACCCCATTCCCCCACCCACCTCCCAATTTGTCACTCTTTGTTTCTTTCCCAGAGTTAGGAGTCTCTCATGGTTTGTCTTCCTCTCTAATTTTTTGCCACTCAGATTCCCCCCTTCCCTTATGGTCTCTTTCACTATTTCTTATATTCCACATATAAGCGAAACCATATGATAATTGTCTTTCTCCAATTGACTTTTTTTCACTCAGCATAATACTCTCCAATTCCATCCACATCAATGTAAAGGGTAGGCTCCAGGTGGGTTTTTCCCCAAAATTATACAACTTGCTGTCCAAAAAAAAAAAAAAAAAAACACCTTCCAGTTCAGAGTTAAAGAAACAGATATCTTGCATGTAGTAGATGTTTAATAAATGTTTACTGAATGAATGAAAGACTCAGTTATACTTTGTTGAATTGAATGATTCCCACAGCTAAGGCCTGTGTATATTGTTTGCTGTAGGACAAACCCACTTGGGTATCTCATGGGTAATCCAGAATTGAGTGTGTCAGGCAAAGTTTATTATCTTCTTCCCCACTGCTATCCTTCCATTCCCCTCCTCCTCCAGTTTTTTTTTTCTAGTCCTCCTCCTCTTCGCCCCTCACATCTAATATTCATATCTTGATGACAGCTTCTCTGCAATGTTTGCTGTTTCCTTAAGGCCTAAGAGGGGAAAGGTATGGTTTCTAATCTCTTTCTCTGAGTAGGGGTGCAGTAGGGGGAGAAAGGATGGAGAGGGAGGGAGAAGGAACAGAAGAAGAGAAGAAGGAGGGAAGTAAAGAAATGAGGGAGAAAAGGTAGGTAAAATAGTGGAGGGAATGCAGTCTTTGAAGTCAGACCTAGAGTTTAACTCTGGCTCCATCACCCACTGGCTGTATGACTGTAGGTAAGCCTTCGTGACCCTCCATTTCCTCATATGTAGAATGAGAATACTAGCACCTATTTGGTTGTGAGGAGAGGAGGAGGCAAAGCATGTGATGCATCGAGGATTATCATCCTCCTTATCATTAGGAATTAAAATACAGGTGAATTTGGAGGGTGCTAAAGATTGGAAAACTCACCCCAGTTGCCTGGGTTTTCTTTATGAAGTGAAATAATGGGGTTACCTGCTGAGAATAAGGTGCAGTGCAGAGCGGAACAAGACAGTCATTCAGGGCAGCCCCAGTGGCGCAGCGGCTTAGCGCCGTCTGCAGCCCGGGGCATGATCCTGGAGACCTTGGATGGAGTCCCACGTCGGGCTCCCTGCATGGAGCCCGCTTCTCCCTCTGCCTGTGTCTCTGCCTCTCTCTCTCTGTGTGTGTGTCTCCATGAATAAATAAATAAAATCTTTTTTTTTTTAAAAGACAGTCATTCAACCCTGTTGGCAAGGAGCTATAATCTGAAACCCTGGCTAATCCCAATTTATTAATAAAATAATGGGAAAGTGACTGGCTGCATATACTTGTGTCCAAATTAGCCTTGTCCAGGTGTCTTTTCCATAGTGTGCCCTTTTCATCTTTCAAAATGTCTGCTCTTCATCTCCAGAAAGGTTGTTAAAGGCTTTAGTGTAAAGACTAGTACCGCTTTGTCCAGCACCCGGGACAGCACAGCAAGTCTCTGTTTCTACCATTTAATTCCTCCCTCTCCTTTCTACGCGCCCCTCCCCCACCCCTCTACTGAGCCAATGTCATTGCCCAGATCCCATTTAAGTCCACTGGTATGCTTTCAATTGCAGTAACAGAAAATTCCAACTTGGCTGATTTTAAAATAAGGAAATTTATTATCTTGCACGTAAGTCCATGAGTGGGGCTGCTTTGTAGTTGCCTAATTCAACAACTCAACAATGTCACAAAAACTCCTGACTCCATCTTTCTGATCTGCAACCCGCAGCATGTTTGTTTAGCAACTCTCATGGTCACAAGATGTGGCTGAGGTACTTCAAGCATTGCATCCAAACAGGACAATATTCAATGGTAGGAGAGGAAGGCCTCTCTTCCTGTGGGTGTACTGTTATTACTCAGGAAACCTTTCCCAAATTTCTCCCTAGTACACTTCCTTTCACATCTCAGTGGCCTGAATCTCATCATACCTATAACTGAACCAATCACTGGCAAGAGGGATGAAACGGCCACGGTCCACTCAGGAAATGAAGATTCTGCCCATAGGAAGGAAGGGGGAGGTGGCTGTTGAGTCGACAAACAATTCTGTCTGCTGAATAACCATCCCCTTACTGAATAACCCATCCTTTCCTCACTTAAAGTTCTGATCATCACTTCCTAACTGAAAGCCCTGGCTGGGAAAAATCACTGGGATGTGCAAGTGAGGTGAGTAAGGACCTGAAAATACCTCTCCATTCAATATATCATAGAGGCCA